AGAGAGAGAGAGAGAGAGAGAGAGAGAGAGAGAGAGAGAGAGAGAGAGAGAGAGAGAGAGAGAGAGAGAGAGAGAGACTAAAAGTGATTGACACTTCTCTCCTAACGGAACCTGCAGCATGCCAGCTCTGGTACCTGTAATCAGTTTTTTTATTTGTATACGAAGCTCTTGACACATTTAATTCACTGCAAAAGATTAAGTAAAATCTCCCAGCACAATTCCAACAGCCACGAACTCTTCATTCCTCATCAAGCTGTTTGCTGACATATCCCCAAATGACCGCACTTGTCTGGCTCTGGAAATTTTCAGCAGGAGAAAACGTTATTAAAATACCTGTCCGGAAATGAACACTCGAAATGGACGTACTTGTCCAGAAATGTGCACTCGCATGTCAGAATGGAGACAGAGAGAGAGAGAGAGAAAGAGAGAGAGTAGGTAGGGGACATAGGAGAAGGACAACCCACCCGACTCTGCGTGGGACAGAGCACGTATGGGCAGACAGACGAGTGGGTCCCTCTTCGATGTGTTATGGCACAAAATCTACCTCCTCTTCATTAACAATTCAGCAACATGTGGCCTTCACACGAGATAAGGAAGACAGTAGAGCTGCCGTGACCAGACAATGGTGTTGCACGACAAACGATTACTTCTCAGTCCAGAAGCCCGCCGCCCCCACTCTTCCATCCCCCTCTCCAAACAGAAAACAGGCAATTACTATGAATCACACAAACCTGACGCTTCCGCCGCCCCCTCTTCCATCCCCCTCCTCCGAAAAACCTCGTCGTCATAAGCCCATACTCGCACCAGGACCTTTTTCTCTACAAAGCTCTGGACATGATTGCATCCAGATACACCCATGACGGGATGTCATTGAGGTCAGGTACACCCAGAAAACTCCCTCCTGAGTGTGAGTACCCCCTAAGAGCGGCAAGCAAGCAGCTTGCTAAGTTCTTCTCATCAAACAGCTCCAATTAAAAAACATGCATGCTGAGAAGCAATTTTCGTACCCATTCATTCAATGGAATCATTTCCACCCTCTTCTGCTTCAATATAAGCACCCTAGCACTAGCTGAGACTCATCTCTCTCTCTCTCTCTCTCTCTCTCTCTCTCTCTCTCTCTCTCTCTCTCTCTCTCTCTCTCTCTCTCTCTCTCTCTCTCTCTCT